CTTTTCCATGCTTCCAGTATTCAGCCAGCTTTGAGCATATTGTTTAAATAAATACATAAATAAAAGAACAGGAAATTACAAGCATCTTCTTAAGCAGAATAGCGAATATCTGAAACAACTTTCCACGATGAGAAATCTGACTAAAAATCTTTTGCTGTAAGAACAATCAAAATTACTTCTTAACAGGATTCTGTGGTGAGATAACCTGAGATAGGAGAGGGCTATGCTTGATACAGAAAATATCACTCCAGGGTTTACAGATCTTAGATTCCTGCTCTCCTGGTTGGAAATAGATGCTTTTAAGGGCTCTTCCAACTCAAACTGTTCTATGGTTCTATGATTTGCACTGCCATCAGTAGCTTTAAATTTTTTAACCAAGTTATCCATGCCCTACCTCTTCCTATTTTTATTTAAACTTTAGCATGCTTTGGCATCATATATCATGCCTTGGGTTTTTCTGTTCCTTTCTTAGAATTATGATATTGACATATTATCTCAGTGCTCTGTTTTATGAGTCTCACTAGTGATCATGTGTTTTTCATTTGGAAACAACAAGGCTTTTGTTTGTTTGTTTGTTTTTGTTTATACTTAATGATTAAGCTGTAAATATTATCTGGTCTTAAACTAGGTATTGTCTATAGGAAGTTTTGGAGTGTTAAGAGTGTCTGCACAAAATTATAAAAAAAAATCTTCGGGATTGGCTGGAATTGGCCCTGGAATATCTTGCAATATCAACAAAAAATACATATTCTATTGAGATGACATATCCTTTTCTATCATATGTAAAACATTCTGTGTTTTTCAGACAATCTCTGAAAGGTGGTATACTGGGCCACTGATGAGTCAACAAAGAAAAAAGATGCTTTATACTATAAATAAATGGACTATATAATAGAAACAGGAGACGACTAACTTTAAAGCAGCCCACAGAGAGCTCCAAATAATAAACATCCTACTTGAACTGAGATGATGATAGCTGAAAATGCATTAAGTAGACAGAGAAACAAAAACAAGTGAGGTTGAGAACTCAGTCAAGCAGGTTGAAGTGGAGTAAACACTTTGTCAGGAGTGTAGCCCATATTAGTGCTAATGCGTTTTGCATTAGTATGATGCCTGTAAAGTACTGACTCTTGGCATCAGAGCTAATAACAAAAATCCACGACAGTTTTACATGCAGGAACAATAATACCATAAGAAAGATTCTGATCTGTTAATGTTTTGAATGTTTTAAAATAATATTATAGCATGTGAAAGAGCTGGTAACAAATGCTAAGTTACACTGATTACATAAATGTCATATTGTTCTGCAATTGAGTTTTAATCAATAATCGATAAAGCAAAAGAGATTAGACAGTACCCGAAATACACACCAAATGAAGGTATTTTTACAAATTCAGAGGATGAGTTTAATCATGCTAAACTTTTAGTAAGAGGATTACATATATATGTATCAATATTAGGAGGATTTGTGGCTTCATTAGCAACTTCAGAGGAAGTAATACCTTCATTATGCTGCTAACTAAAGTGAAATACTTTCTGTGATTGGTTGAGATTCACAAAACAAATTTCAGCCATGGAGGGTTATACAGAGGACAGTGCTATGTGTCTAAAATCCTGTGCCTCTAGTCTTGTTCCCTAGTCTGACTGGTGTTGCTGGCAGTCAGGACCCAGTCGGTGCTTGCTGCAAGGTGAGGGGAAAAAGGGCCTGAAGGCAGTTAAGGCAGTGCTGTGAAGGTGAGGGGAGAGCTGTGGGCTGCTGGAACAGCAGAAATTTGATATTTGGTGGAGCTTCTGTATTTGGACTGTACAGCCAGAGCCTCTAGCAATGGCACAATCTGGCCTTGAACCCATTTCCCTGTCTCTATTCCTGTGTGGCAGAGGTGGGTGCTTATGCCAGCCTCATGCCAGGTTTGGGGTGCAGCAGGCCAGTGAGAATGTGAGTTGAGAAGCTGTCAGGGTGCCCCTATATCATGGTGTCTTGCATTTGGAGCATTTTGAGTTAGCTGGTGGGTTAGACCAGCCTTGAAGCCATTACAGGGAGCATGGAAACTGGGCCAATGGCAAGGTCAGAGGTATAGAAAAAAGTACTTTAATCTGTAACCAGAACATTTGCAAATTTGCTGGTGGTTCCTTCCTTTCTCACTGAGCAAGACAGAAGGAAATTAGAGGACTTCCCAAGACGAGAGTAAGGTTAGGAACAAGATTAAAAGCTTTGTCTTTCATCTCCAGGACTGTCTCTAAACCCCAAAAGCAGGGAGTTCTGAGAACTCCTCTGTATAAGGGACTACAGCTCGTATCAGCTGAGCCATTATGTAATAGCAAAATGTCTGACTTGGCATTTCAGTTATATCTCAGTAGACTTGAGTCTTGTCAGGGAGGTACCAAATTTACTCTAATAAAGTACTCATGCTGCTAGACTCAGATCTTTCTGAGTGTAAGATTTTGGAGTCTCCAAAGGCACGTTTCTGCCAACATTTACAGAATGTTATCACTTGGTGTTGATGTAGATGTTTCAGAAGTTCTTGTTAAAGCTTGAAATGGTCTGCCTTTTATGGCCTTAATTAGAGGGATTCTTGAATTACTTGCTTTTTGCACTGCTGAAGTAGACTGAATTCCTGTTTGACTGATAAAGATGCATATTGTAACCTTCTGTGAAGCATGATTTTATGTCTGTATGAAAAGCAGTGTAAGTATTACATCTTCCATTCTTCCCAGCTGAAATGCATTAGCCTTATTTTTGTCTTCTACCTGCTTCTTTCCTCTGACTACCCAGGTTTTTTGTTCTCCTGTTTGGATATCCACCAAATAAGGTACCCACCAAGTTCTTAGCTGCATAGCTCATTAGTTGGGCACTTTAGTTTGCCCACTTTGCAAAAGTTTGGATGCTTTAATTTTTAGTTATATATTTATTTATTTTAGGAATCAGCTTTTATTGTCTGATGTCTTTGAGATGAGGAGGGTTTTTGTGAGAAAGTGTGTCACAATGGGGCAGGGCAGAATAATTCCTCAGGGTTTTGGGTTTCAGCAGAAGACTGCTTGAGCTCTTCATGTGATAAAAGAATGAATCAGCATAGCAGTGATGTCTGTAATTTCTTACCTAAGGGGAGACATGAGAAATTCTTACCTTTCTCGTGCACAATGAGATCACTGCTGTTCTCCCTCCCAGGTACTCATCAAACAGGCATACTTGATCTCTGTGTTCAACACTACTTCAGTCCTAAGTATGGATAAAATTACCCTTACCAAAACTATCTGCTTATCACTAATCTTAAAATCTTCAGCAGCATCCTGGTTGTGTTGCTTTTAGTTTAGCTCCCATTGTTTTGCACTCGGTATTCTGGCTGTCACTTGTATCTGGTGGCAAGGTGTCCATCAGTTTGCTCTGTGTTGTTTCCATCCATCAGTTCCTTCTGCTTTCTTGAACCTTTTCCTGCTTTATTTCATCAGAACATGTTGAGTTCAGCTACTCTGGTTTATCCAGATAGGATTTTGTTTTTTCCAGAGGTGTTGCATGAAGCTTTGCTGGTAGCCCTCATGATGATGAGTTTTTTGGTTTCTGATGACTAAGTCCATAGTACTGACTAGGGGACTAAAATGGAGGGAGAAAAGCATTAGATGTAATTCTAATGGAAGAATATAGCATATACTACTCTTAAACACTGCTCAAAAGAATTGAAAGTTTTTATAATAATTCTTTTCCATAGATGCTACAGGAAAGTTGCATGCTTGGGAATAGGAAAGCAGGGTGATTCATGAGACTGCAAGTGGGAGAGCTGGTGGAGAGTGAGAGGCTTTAATACCTGCCTGGAAGGTTAGCTTATTCCCATTAATTTTCAGAAGAATTTTTGGAATGCCATCAAGGCTTCTCTCTTTGTGCTTGTGACCATTTCTGCAAGGTTTTTATTCTAGCATCTAAACAAAATCCAAAGTGCTGTGCATGGGCAGCTCTTAATAATTGCTTAAAATAACTTCTTGCAGAAGGGTTCTAGTTAAGAAGTTATGTGTAGCCTACAACAAATTAGTCTCACAATTTCAGTTAGAGAAAATATTTTGTATTTACTGGTTTTAAGGTAATAGCAGTATTGCAGTGCTTTATAACAGTATTATATTTGATACAGCACATGGTACATGTCATTAGCTGGGAAGGGAGTTGTGACCACGCAAAATGCTGCTGAACTTGTTCTCTGCAGTAGCTGCAGACAAGATTCTGAAGTACTTTGTACAAGTAAAAGTGATGGAATGGGTTCAGGAGTATGAATTTTAATAGCTCATGATAAAGTACTGCCTATGGTACAGATAGGATAGATCTTGAAGAAAAAAATACCTTCCATACAATGAAAAAGTAATTTTAGAGGAAAGTACTTGAATGAGCTACTACTATTTGTGCATATTTTCTGTTGATGGTTTAGATACAGAAAGAAACTAATGAGTACTTCTTAAAGATTTTTATTTCATCATTTCAGAAGAAACCATGAACAAATGAACTGCTGCAAAATGGTATTTTTGTCAGTTTCCTCTTGTTTTCCGTACTTAAAACATGAGATATTTATTCAGTCTGAGTTAGTCCTGGGTGAACTAAATGCAGGTCTACTTAGGATTGAGTAACTAGCCTACAGATTTGCATTTAAAAATCTTGGTGCTGGAAAGCATCCTAATAGCTATTCAAATTATTTATGCTTTAGGTTGAAATCACATGTCTTCTATGGATTATAGTTTATAGTGATTATTTTACTTGAGGTTGTCAGAGAGAGTTCATAATGTTGTCTGGGTGCAGGAGAGCCACATTTTTAACTCTCACTGTTCATGTCAAGCCAGGAGTATGAACACCCACATGTTCCCAAGAGCAACGGAGCATTCCTTAAAGTGAGATACAAAGGAGGGAAATTAAGATTATGATCAGGACTTTACAGCTCTCTTCTGTTACTGTAGTATGTCAAGATACAGTGTTTATGTGTTATTCTATCATGGGTTTCCATTGCTTATGGTTTGTTTTGTTTCAGCCTCTTGGAGCCAGCGACTATTTGGAAATATCAAAGCATTTTGACACAGTGTTTGTTCGTGACATACCACTTCTTACAATAGCAAAAAGGACACAAACTCGTCGTTTCATTACTCTTATTGATACCTTTTATGAGCATAAGGTGAGAATCAAGCCTTTCTTACATGCATAGGAAAAATATTGGGAGTCCTAAAACTGGCTTTTACTATTGAAATAAGGCTTTCTGTAGTAATAGTTTGGAAAACATAAGCAGAATGAACTAGCACTGCAAAGAAACATCATTCCAGCTTCACAAAATAAAAAAAAGGTCCTATTGCAATAAAGGCAAATAAACAAGCTGGATTTTTTAATTTTTTTTTTTTTGTTTCTGTGCCTATTAAGCATGAGCACAAATATAAGCCTGAGCTCATTTGCCTTTCTTGAATGGGGATGTTCTTTCCGAACCCAGGAAAACAACAGAAGCCATGTCATTATTTTAATAATGAAAGATTGTGTTGCCAACTCTGCTGGAGTGAAATTGAGTTTTTTACATTTTAATCTGTAGGGGCAGTTGGTCAGGAATCAGTGCCTTTTTGATCAGGAAGGAGGAGTTAATAGCACAGTTACATCATAAATTTTAAAGGAAGCAGTCACTGTAGTCTTTACATTAGATTGGAGAATTGCTCATGGAATAATAATGATAAACGCAGCACTTTATGTGGATTCACAGAGATTTCAATCATGGAAGCAAAATCAGTGAAACTAAACCAAAGGGAATTCCCTATTTAAGGTGATTTTTTTTTAAGTGATGCAAGATTTGAGACACTATCTTATATGTGATTATATTTGCACACACTTAAACATTTATGCAGTTGGAAAGTATCAGTTGAGGTTGGTTCTTATCAAGAATGTTCTGGCATGGGTTGTTGATCACAAAGGACCCAGCTCAGTGAAGTATTGAACTAACTCAATGTATGAGTAGTCTCATTCAAATCAGCCAGATTCAAATCAGTGTCATTCAAATTAGTCAGATTCTTTATGCTTTATGGTTGGGAAGTGGACATTTGCTAAGACAACATGCTAATATTAAACTAATGTGTTAGAAATAGGGGGATGGTCTGCTCTGTGTTTGTGCTGTCATTAAGAATTGCAAGCAGTCACTTTCTATTACTTCCTCCATAGGAAAAACACAAGTGTTAAACTCCCATCAAAAGTAGCTGGGAAAAATACCTGAGTATATTTGTGGATGACTGTCCACAACACAAAAATCTTGCCTGCATGCTCTCAACAAGAGTCTCCTCCTGCAGTATTATTTCAGTCTGTCTTAATTGCAGCCCCCATCTCTCAGTGCACATTGTATCTCCTCCCAGCAGACATGAAAACAGCATCATTATTTTTACTAGCAAATAACTTAGTGAAGTAGCACAGATGAAGGCAAGAAAAGCTTCACTCAGCCTTCTGGGAAATTTGGAATTTAAGTATTCTTTAAGTAGTGTAGTGTATCTACCCACTGAGAGGACTCTCACTGTGGGTGAAAAGTAAGCATTGCTTACTATACAGCTATTATTTTAGAAAGTAAACTTTATGGTGAACTCATCTGTGTAGCAGATATTCTGAGTATTTGATAGCAGAGTTCTTCTGTTCTCTGAGTAAAAGTTGTATCAGTTGTTATTGAGAAAAAGATCCTGTAAGATGCTGTTAAATCTGTAACAGCAGTGCTAATAAGAGAAAGGAAAACCACTGGGGGGAAAACACTGACATTTTAACTTGAAGTTTGCTGTGCATGGATCATTTATTTCATCCCGTTCCTGTAAAGCCCAAGTGATGATACTGTTGCCTGTTCTCCTCCACTCAGGTGCGCATTATCTGTTCTGCGGCAGCTCCCCTCCAAAGCTTGTTCCTGGTGGAACAGGGCAGTGGTGAACTGCAGGACAACAGAGTGTTGATGGATGATTTGGACTTGAGCCAGGTACATGATTTTAACATTGTCTCCCTTTTGTAACAAAATTGGGTTTAGTCTCATAATTGCAGAGGCATTTTAGGAGGAGGAGTCAAGAAAATATTTAACTAATGATTTGCTGCTTTTTTGGCGGTATCACTGTTACATTGATAATTACAAGTTGTGCTACTTGTTCATAGTCAAAGAAAAGTGTCACTATATGTAGAACTATTTTGTGTAAGTTTTAGGATCATTTTGAATATTATTCATTGTTTCTATTCAGTCATATATAAAAATGCAGATTTAAGTTTAGTGCCTACATTTAAAATACAGGAATAAAAGATGGTTTGTTCTACCTCTTCCTAGACTACAGAACAGCCTCACAAATCCTCACAAACAATACTACTTTGCATGTTGCTTATTCTGTTTTTCTTTTTCCCTGTAGCTCCGTTATTGCTAATGACTTTTAAAATAATTTGTTTAAATCAGTGTACAATTAGTCAACAAAAAGGGAAAATAGATGGTTAACCTATTATTGTGTTGTTTTAAAACCAAATTTTTTTTGCTTTTTTTGCTTTTGCTTCCTTCAGAGGATTACCTAGCTGAAATAGATGCTTTTCTTTAATTTCTGGACATCAGTCTTAATTTGGTGGTGCCATGCTGCTGTCTTGTTTGTCAAAGCCTGTAAAGCATTGAGCCTTAGGAGTTAGACAGGATGCACTTCAGTACAGCCATGAGTCTCACAGGTGTGTGGTCCTGTTTTTGTGTATTGATGTAGGATTCTGCCAAAGGACTCTCCATGTTTACAGGAGAAGAGGAAATCTTTGCCTTTCAGCGTACTCTTTCACGGCTCACAGAAATGCAGACTGAACAGTACTGGAATGATGGGGACAGAAGAAAAAAAACATAATTAAAAGCTGAATGAAATCACCAAGAAGTAAAATTACAGCATGAAATCACCAAGAAGAAAAATTGGAAAAACTTCGGAAAAGCACTGGAAAGCTTTTTAGCACAACTTGAATAATAATTGCACTTTATTATCTGGACCATGTTTTCTTTCATTGGTAGTCTCTTGAGTTTAAGACATGAGGTCTCAGTTATTTTTCTGTACCACTAGTGTGTGGATATGTGAAATTTTGCCTTCATTTGTTCTTCTTCAAACCTGTCTGGATGTCTGGGTCCACACAGTGGTGGGGAATGGAGTTTAAGCCAGCTGGTGGCTGGTCAACCAGTAGGGTTCCCCAGGGCTCAGTATTGACACCAGCCCTCTTCAATCTTTATCAATGGTATGGACAAGGGGATCAAAGTGCACCCTCAGTAAGTTCACAGATGATGCCAAGTTGGGTGGGAGTGTTGATCTGCAGGAGTGCAGGAAGGCTCTGGACAGGCTGGATCAATGGGTGAGGCCAATTGTATATTGTTCTACAAGGCCATGTGCCAAGTCCTGCCCTTGGGTCACAACAACCCCAGGCAGCACCACAGGCTGAGGTAGAGGGGCTGGAAAGCCCAGGGAGAAAAGGACCTGGGGGTGCTGGTCAACAGAAAATGAGCCTGCTATGCCCAGGTGGCCAAGAAGGCCAATGGAATCTTGGCCTGTATCAGCAACAGTGTGGCCAGCAGGAGCAGGGCAGGGATTATCCCCGTGTACCCGCCCTGGTGAGGCCTAACCTTGAGTGCTGTGTCCAGTCTAAGCCCCTCTCTACAAGAAGGACATTGAGGGGCTGGAGCAAGTCCAGAGAAGGGCAATGGAGCTGGTGAAGGGTCTGGAGCACAAATCCTGTAAGGAGCAGCTGAGGGAGCTGTGGGTATTTGGCCTGGAAAAGGAGGCTCAGGGCTGACCTTACTGCTCTCTACAGCCACCTGAAAGGAGGGTGTAATGAGGTGTCGGACCCTTCTCCCAGGCAACCAGTGACAGGATGAGAAGACAATGCTTCAAGATGCTCCAGGGGAGATTCAGGTTGGACATCAGGAAGAATTTCTTCACTGAAAGGATTGTCCAGTATTGGAACAGGCTGCCCAGGGAGGTGGTTGAATCACCATCTCTGTAAGTGTTTAAGAAACTGCTGGACATGGCACTTAGTTCTGTGGTTTATTTGATAGGGTGATGTTTCAACAAAATTGGACTTGATGATTTTGGAATTTTTTTCCAACCTTAATGAGTCTCTAAAATGTAACTTTGATGTTCAGGAAGTTTAATAGGATTAGAATTATTTTGGAGAATTGGTCTACAGACAAAGTTAATGGGCTATGCAGAGTCATTTTATGATGTCACATGAGGTGGGCATGTCATTGTTTATGCACTGCTTCTGTCATGTACAAAGCTGTTTGCACAAAAGAAAAATCAAATGCTTTCTTTAAGAAACTCCTGATATTGTCTTTGCTAGAATCCTGGAACTCCTCTGCAGTGTGCTCTGGTTCTGCTTTTTTGTTGGTTTTTTTTTGTTTGTTTGTTTTTTTTTTCCTATTCTCTGAGTCTAGCTATTTCTTGACATTCAGGCTCTGGGAGTTTTTTTTAATTAGACTGTTGCTCAGTCTGGTTCATTGAAAGCTAAATGGTTTTAACTAAGAGAGAACCCTGAGGAGGAGCTTCAAGGTACTTGAAGCTGCACAGGATTAAGATCTAAATAATGGATGGGAAAAAGAGACCTTGATAAGACAGAGTATGCTATAACAAATAAGTGCTAGTTCATGTTTTTCCTAAATTTTGTGGTTCTTGTCTGCCTCTACACCAGTGACATCTCTACCTTGAGTTTTCTTAGGCTTCTTCTCCACCAAACCTTCCCCTGCTGCTAACACACCTGCCCTGATCTGGGGGAAGTAGTGCTCAGTACTACTGAGGCAACTCATCATGTTACCATAGAAATGTGTTTTATGGAAAAGATAGGATAGTTACTGATACCTCAAGACACATTACCCATCCTCATGTTTGTAGTTGGAAACTCTATTTTAGTTAAAGATGTGGTGGTGTCATTCTTGATTTTAATCTGAAACAAAACATGGTATTGTGTGTATTGGCTTATCATGTATTTTTATAAAGTAATCTTAAGAGCATATTTAGAAACTTGGAGTAGAAAAAAACATGTAGATGTACTGAAAAGACTGCCCTCATTTCCTAGGGAGGAGATATATAACACACTGTCCCCAACTTCGGGAGGTTTTCTTGGATTTTGTAACATGGCCTTTTTATGTCTGTTATCAAATTGTCTCCCATCACAATTGCAAAAAGCTTCTAAAAGGGTCTTCTGGGCAGCAGGGAGGGCTGGAGAGATCCTGTGCACTTTACTTTTTTTAGGGAGCCACATGCTCAAGTCTGGTTTTCTGTTCTGATCCCTTCTGTTTCCCTGGAAGTTGCTTACACTGGCTATACCTGCTCCTCAAATAATTTCTAAAGCCTATATTTATAGTTTGGAACTCATGGAACTATATTATTATTCCCACAAGGGTAACTACCATGGAGAATTTTAATGCATATTTATGAAAACTCCAATCAGAATACATTGCTTATACTTAAGAATATCCAAATAATTGGTGTATGCTTTCAGAGATTTGGATGAGGTTTCTCAGCAGAGGGACTATTGACATTCATGCATGTGTGTCTGTATATACAAACACATACATATATTTAATTTATACATGTATATATAAATTTAGATAAAACTAATATATGTAATTTGTGTGTGTTTCTGTATTTATACATGGCACTCTATACTTATCAACCTGGGACTGTGCTGATAACTCTCCTGAAGTTTCCTGAAGCTTCAGCCTTGACTTTTTTGAGTAGCATTCAAATGCCTCCTGCCTTGAACCACAATGTGTTGTGGGAAAATTGGAGATGGTGATAGATGACCTAAGGCATTTTGCATCTGGATATTTATTTACAATCTTTTAAAAACTGTTTTTATGTTTAGTCTGTATGTCCTTCTCTGTCAGGTGGTACAGGGGAAATGTGTAATCTTGCAAAATGTAGATGACATGTCTAGGACATATGGGAGAGGAGGTCCTGACAAGTTCTTCATTGCCACAGAGACTGTCTCAGGCCAGGGAAGTGAGGTGTTTCTCCACTGTCCATGTGGGTGATGATGAAGCTCCTTTAACCACAGGATCCCTGTTTGTATTCAAACTGGTGCTGCTTTTCCCATTGGTATTTGAGGCTTTTCTGCAGTCTGATGCACATCCCAAACTCAGATACCCCAGGTTTTTGGAAGCTCCTAAATGCAGTGGGACTGATGTACCATTGAAAGCCTCTAAGGATATAGGTGAGCTCTGTGAAAACACAGGAGATAAGTTCCCAAAAGCTTCCAGAGCCAGCACAGCTTCTGGGATATATTGCTAAAAAAAAAAAAACATAGCGCAGTCTTTCCTTGGCCAGCAAGGAATTTGTCTGTTGGGAGCCTCTGGTAGGTACCAGCAATAATCAAGGAAAAGAAATAGGGAAGATTCCAGAAGTGTTTTGAGACTGAAAACAAGAAAAGTTGCCTAAATCACTGTGCTGTATTTGTGATTGTGCTGCAGACGGAGGTTTGCCACTTTTGGGTCAGGTCCACAGGAAAAATTTATTGGACTGGTTTCTCAGCCAGCCCAGATGTCAGGGCAAAGGGTGCCCCAGTAACCACAGAAGCAGCACATTTATGCCTGTCTACCTCCCTGAAGAAAGTGAGGCCCGATTTGCTTATTTATTATGCTGTAGCATGTATAAAGCCCTTTTCCAGTGCAAAGTTGGAGGTGCTGCTTCTGGGGTCAGACACCTTCCAGGCAACTGGTGCCAGCCAGAATCTTACTGCATACCATGGACAAGAGTGGTTATGTCATGCCCAGGGTCACCTGTGCTCCCAGCTGTCCTGTCCCCTGCTGCCTGGCCTGCTCCTGCTGCTGTGATACAGCAACAGTGCATGACTTTATTCCCACATGTTGTATTTGACAAAACATAAACAGTGAGATGCCTGTGACTGAATTATACATGCTCCATGATAGCTTTTAAAAATTGCTGGATTTGTGCTGGATGCTTCTATGCAGAGTTTAAGTCCTGCCTTTTAAGGTTTTTCTTAACTTGTGAATTCATGTCATCTCAGATCTGCAACAAGTTTTTATTTCCTTTAGTCATTTAGCAAACATTATTGACAAGTTATTTTTAAAGGTCTTTTCAAGTGACCTTTATTGATGTGGCATAATATTTTGCTATCATAGGAGGCAAAATCTGGGAATTATGTACCATGTGAAACACCTCATGTTTTCTAAAGGTCACGTCCTGGCTGAGAATCTCTCAACTTCTTTCAAATACTTGACTGACCAAAGAATGTTCACAATGCCCAAAAACTTAACTTATTTTTTCTTTTTTTAATAATAAATAGTGCAATTTTGTCTTTCAGAGTTATTGGTTTTCAGTATTTGTTACTGTGCAGATTGAGGGAACAATTGCAGTATTTTGGGTAGAACAAGACAGCCTTCCAAAGACTTTGGAGGTTTTGAAGATGCACTCTTTGCCGATGCAGATTTTTGATCTGAAAAGGAGAACCAATAATGACTTTTCTTTTAGTAAAAGTGTTTGTGATGGCATTATAGCTGGATAGATGTCACCTATTTGTCAATCTAAACATGAAAAAAAGTGACTGACCAGGTTTCAAATCGTGCCCAGCATGGTCACCAACCACGTAACAAGGAGGAAGAACAGTCTCTCTGTCAAGATGTGGCTAACAGAATTAAGATTCAGGATTTTTCTTTCTGCAATTGCCTAGATCTGAACACACCTGGTGCCTCAGTTTCCCAGCTGATGAAATGGGAAAGATGTTACTTTCTTATTTGCTAACTCTGGCGTGCTGCCAGGCTTCCCTCATTAATATTCTAAGATGCTTGCCGAGGCTCTGGGATGAAAATACTTCAGTAAAGTATGTAAATAGTGCAAAAAAATAATTTATCTACTCCGAGTGGATTAGTCTCCTTGTTTGGGTTACAGAATTAATGTCATCCACTGAACACCACATGCCTCTTCATAGTGATTTTGTTTTAAATAATGCATCTATTTTAAGAATCTACTTAAAGAAAAAAAAAAGATTTGTGATTAAAACCATAAACCATTTGTGTAGTTCTTCTTTTACTTGTAATAACAAATTTTCTATAAGATTTATAACAACCTCAGATCCTATACGTGGGAAACAGTGGCTTTGTAAATTCTGTTGGGATTTTCCTTGTATACAGAGTATTTTTTAAAATATGTCATTTTGAATCTAATATATTACAAACTGAACACTGTCAAATCCATCTCTTATTTGGGAAGAATTTATCTTGTAATAAAGAAAAGTTAATCCAGATTTTATAAACTTGTCATTTATTTATGCTATTTTT